CCCGATTTAGAATCGTTCCCCCTCAAAGATAAAAAACCGCATAAAAATAACATCTATGAAATCTCATCCAGCGAATCGGAAACTCGACGCTATACAGTCACAGTGTCGATAAATGGCAAAGATCTACTCCGTAACGGCTTTCCCCAGTGGCTCGGATAAGGTTGCTTCGCACGTGGTTCTTTTTACCCTCATTTCTCCCCCCCCCCTCCTTCTTACTCCTTATTTTTCATTTCTCGAAGCACCTGAGGATCGTCCATCATTGTCCTTAATGCATCGAGCGTCTTACTTCAGCCTCGGCATCCCTCGTGTTTTCCCCGGGATCCCTCAACAATACGCTCTCTGGTTACCTTATACCCCGTATTCACACGACTTTCATATTCTAATGTCGAACTGGTTTGTACCTAGTGAGGTAATGGACGCATCAATAACCCATCATATCGATTTCTCCTCGAAACGTGAGGTGATTCTGATCATCTGGCAGTTTACATCAATGAAGAGCAAAATTTATGATTAATGCGAGGCACAGAAAATCGACGATAACTGGAGCTGAGCGAATCAGTGCAGACGAGAGTCTTAAAGAAATAATATAAAAAAAATTCAACGGAAAAAACCACAATTTAATTTCATAACACGCCCCAAGAAATGTCAGACTGCGACACATTTCTATTTTTACGTTCAGTATCTCAATTTTTTTTCATACATCCTTTATTTTCTCCACCTGTATGACTGCAATGGTATACACAGGAAAAAAAAACGTCCAAGTGCAGTACCGCAGAGGTACCCCACTGAATCCAGGATTTAGATAAATCGTACGATCTGGGGTTTGTACGTGCACGTCATTCCAAGAACGCAGAGACGACAGGTAATTTTTCTGCTACCTACCGAAGACTCTGGGTTCTGCAGTTGCAATTTCGCACGGTTATTTGTAAAAAAAAAAATGAGGCAGGGGGTAGGGAAAAAAAGGCAATTGAAAAGGAAAAACCCTGAAACCCTGAAACAAAACTAATTCCGAGTCAAGATAAAATTCCATTTGTCGGTGTGTCAAAAAATAAAGTCGTACGGAGATGAAGAGGTAAAGAGGGTAAAACAATTGTAACTGGAAATGTCAACAGGATAATACTCAAGGGTTGAGCATTGATGTACAGACAATTGAGCTTTCGGGACCAAATTACAGGCTGTGTCGTATACTGTTAAAAATTTTCGTCTGAATTTTCCGGGCCAAATTTTGGACATTTTTATCGTGTTTTAGTTGCACTGAAATTTCGGAAAATCTGGTCATTGAAAAATCAAATATTCCATTGATTTTTTGGTCGAATGACCGAAAAATCAAAAAAATTCTTGATTTTCCAGTTCAATTATTCTGTGAAAATTGAAAAAATCCGAAAAATTCACGTCGTTTTGTTCCTGAATATTCATGTTCCACTGAACATTCATGAATTTCCGTGAATTCTACTTAAAACGTGAAATTTCATAAACATTTTTGCCCTAAATCCGATTCAATGTAACTCTCATGAGATTTACTATAATATCTTCCATGAAATTTCAAAAACTTTCCAACACTATAGCAAAGATGAATTGTCAATTGGTTGAGAACACATCTACCTGAATTTTCCGGATTTTTATGGAATAATTCAACTACAATTTACAGTTTCCATTGATGTTCTTTTCCACGAAATTTTACATTTTCAATGATGAAGTTTCTCGAAATTTCAGTGAAACGGTGATGTGATAAAAATTTCCGAGTACAAAAATTGATTGATTGAACATTCAAAAACATTTACCTGGATTTTCTGAGGTTTCATCAATTTTTGTGAAATAATTTAACTGCAATTTACAGTTTCCATCGATTTTTCCATTAAATTTTAAAATTGTCAACGACGAAATTTCTCGAGATTTCAGCCAAACTAAGTGATAAAAATTTTGGAATATAAAAAAAGAGGCAGTGGATAGGGTAAGAAAGCAATTGTCAAGGAAAAACCTCATGAAATAAAACTCCTAGTCAAGACAGAATTCCATTTATCATTGTGTCAAAAAATAAACTGGTACCGAGATGTAGAGATGAAGAGATAAAGAGGATAAAACAACTGTAACTGAAAATGTCAACGGGATAGTACACAAGAGTCGAGCATTGACGTACAGACAATTTAGTTTTCGAGACGAAATTACAAACTGTCTCCCATCACGTGATATTGTGCAGCGAAACTGTTTTAGTACCACGAGGATATGTTTGATAATCGATTTTGTGGTGCAATAGTTTTGCCCCAGGGTTATGAGATACGAGGCCACAAGCTGATCGAGAGACGTTGCTCGTTTGATATCCCGTTGGCAAGCGGATCACGAGCTTCATAATCCCAAACGCGAGTTGAGATCAAAATAGGTACCTTTGAGAGGTACATGGAGAGAGAGGAGTAATGCGTGGTTGAGTGTTAAAGGGAAGTAAAAGGGAGCACTATGTCGAGAGCTTTACCTGCAATTTCGCTTTGGAGATACAGGGTGAACGGTCAATAGTAACTTGACCCGTGTCGTTGGTAAATGGAAAATGCAATAATGCGGAATGGGTCTGTCATACATTCGTTTTCATAACGCTGTTTCATCCATTCGTTAATACGAAAGTCTTGTATAAAAAAAAATGAAATCTTTCTGGAAATCAGATAATATTCCTGAAGAGACAAAGTAACTTTTAGAGAAGGAAAAGATGTTGCTTTCCTTCAAACTCATTGCGATTGAGAGCAACTGACGGTTATATTTGAGAAATATCTGAAGGTTTTCCTCTGTATAAATTCTGTATTCACTCAATACGTAAGTCTCTGATCCTTGATTTACTGAATCGAAGCTTTTAGTATTTTCAGTAATTTTCTCAGCTTTTGACACGAAATAAACGATTTCTTGAGGCAAGATATTGTCACTCTATCGCCAAGTGTTCGTGTTCAAGTCATGAACATTTCGCAAGATCCTTACGCGGTCTGACTCATTATGCGGAAGTCTTATCCCAAGCGTTTTATCCTTAAGAGATGAGAGATTTGACACAAGAAATTAGTTTTGTGATATTACGTCGATATTTCTCTCAGTGTGGAAATTCAATAATATGTTTACGTGAATTTCACTCATCTCAATTTTCTTTCCTTTTAGTTTGCATGTCTCAGCGGAAAAGTAAAAAACAACATTTCTTCATGTGAACTGCTCGAATAATCCAAGTTAGCACTCGTCGTTACATTTTCGAAGGATATCTCTGAACCTAAAAGACAGCGTTTTTTTCATAGATCTTCCCGATAGCTCCCGTTGATCTTTATGAATAACCGTCTCAATAAAGAGACCAGCAAAAACTGATGGTGAGGTGAAATTGACTCAGCGTGTTTCACCACTCCACTGATTTATCATAGGAATAAAGTTAAGTTCTATGACGTTCATCCGAGCGTCATGACGAATTTCCACCGCTTTTAGCGCAAAAAAGAAAGCCCAAGAATGTAATTCTTCCAACTTGAATATTCACCACTTCGAGAAATCCTCGAGATGATGGAATTATACTCGTAATAGACTCGGATTACTTACATTTCTCGTTTTTAACACCATTTCTTTATTGGCCGGATTCACTTCGCTCCTTTCACTGGCGTAGCACTCCTTAGCGTGCCCAATTAACTGAAATAAGTCGAACAATTACATTAAATTTCAATTACAAACCAAGTTATAAGAATCGTCGGAAAGTTCGTTCTCGAGCACTTAAACTTTTAATGTATCATTGGCTCTCACATTGGAGAGACGCTTATTTCGAATCGGCAAAACGTATTTGTCCAAGTGACAATTCGGGGGGAAGGGGGGNGGGGGGGGGGGGAAGGGGGGGGGGGAGATTGAGTGAAACACCCTGGACGTAACTACCATGTAAATTCCAGAATTAGCATGAATAATTGTGGAATACTTCTTCCGCACCCGCGAACTCAATCCCCCCACCCTATACCTTCCTTTATCCCGAGAAAGACCCTAATTGGGGACCCACTTAAAGTGCTCGTGAATTATTGTTCTACCGTTTAATTATGTATATTCTAATTACAAGCTCGAAACGGATCAACGTCAAATGCTTAATTAAAGCCCACTCGAGGTCCTCCCATTACTTTTCCCCC